GAATTTAACACATTTTCCTTCAATAGCTCTGTCACAGCAAGTACATTTCAAGTACCAGTAGCCGTAATTGCTCGTGTGGCAACTCTTAACAAAATCAAAATGTAGATTAAACCGAAATTAACGTAATTTCAAATTAAACTCATTTAAGAATCTGAAGATAATACTCAAAATTTTGTTATTGAAAACTAATTCACCGAATTTGAAATTCAATCAAACTTCATTTTTGCTGCAAAATATAACTCTAACTTTTGCTTTATTAAATTATATAACTCTATTATTCACTTACAAAACAATAATAATTAGTACATTTATAAACTCTTTGTAGAGCGTAACATTTTGTAATAAATTAAGAAAGATTATATCTAACATCGCGTTATTGTTTATTGCTTACATTATAAAATAAAAGTTTTATACCGTAATTCATGAGTTCAAAACTATTTTATATCAAAAGGGAATGGCTGATCAACAACAATACTTTTTATGTAAATAAAAATTTTTGAATGATCTGCAAGCGTCATTATACAAAACTCAATAGAATCATTGTTTTTTATAATACAAAAAAATATCTTGGCGCCCTCTGTTTTTCCACATTGTAAAGTAATAAATTTTAATATATACAAAAAATATTTTATAATTCATTAAAATTGCTAGTACAATACAATGGAAATGAGTATTTAAATTATTAAGCGTGTATCTAAGTACAATAAATTTATTATTAAAATTTATTTTATAAATTATTAAAAAACAAAGCAACAAAATTTTCTTAATATACAAGACAATTTGGATATGGATCAGAAAAAAAAATATCGACATTAAAATAATTCTAATATTGAATAGATCTGTCAACGTCAACGGTGACTACTCATAATGATTATGTTCGTGAACTTATATTGAGTCTAGGAAATATAAATATAATAAGCACATAATTAGTAAAAAGAATAATATTCTAATTTTAAATTGTTTTTTCTTTTTTTAAAAGAAAGTTTTTTCATTATTTTATTAGAACAATAGAACAATGCTAATTATTGTTCAATATATGTATGTATATGTAGTATATGTATGTTTGTATTATGTATAGATTTATTTTTTCAGTATATCAATACATTTCCAAAAATATTTAAAACAATGCGCTTATTATTATTGTTGGACGGACAGAGTCCTCTGTCTGTAAACGTGAATCAATATACGATAAGTTATAAAAGTCTTAAATATAAACAGACCGTGTAGGCATTATAGCTTACAAGAACTTATTCAGATTTCAGAACAATTTTTTTTGTCTACGTTTTACATATGATTACTAACTCATCCAAACATCGTTCTTACATATTTATCAATTAGAATTTTTAGATTTTTTTTCAACAACTAAGTTTCAAGAGTTAAAAAATAATTTTTAAGCCGGCATATTTTTTCAAAAATTAATATAAATTAATTATCAACTTTTCTTGAAAATAATATAGCATATATGTAAATGCTGGAGTAATATTTTTAATGGTTCTAATATATATACATAAATTTTAACACCTATAATTATGCAATAATCTAGATATTGCATAAAAAAAATTCTTAATAAAATACTTTTCTTTTAAATTAATAAAGGTTCATACTTATACATATATTTAGATTTTAAAGTAAAAAAATAAATCTTATACAAATTTCAAATTATCTCCAGTCGATCGATTTTTTATTGAGAGAAACATATAAAATTTTTACCTAGCATTTCAAATAATAAAATAGTTATTGTCTGCAAAAAGAAAAGAGAAAAACCAATAATAAAAAAAAAGTATAAAATTTTGTTATTGCAGCCGGAAAAAATATTATGTATATATGGATATATATACAAATACTTGTATATATTCTATATACAATTTATAATGTACATGGATATACATACATATATAGAAATTCATAAAATACATATAGTTTTATAGATATCGCTCTCCTCTGTAACTATGATGAAGAGATAGAGCCCTCTGTGTTATATTGTATTTTACCGACAAAAATCATTAGGGTATGTAATGTGAATTTTATTCTAAGCTTGTTTAAAAATTTGTTTTAAAGTAGTATTGGTATAATAAAATAATTTTTATTCTTTTACACATTATTTTGTTTTCTTAATTCATTTAAATATAAAACTGTTTTGGAAATTATAGATGTAAAATAAATAGTTAAAATATATTCATTAATAAAATAATAGGCACTTGTGTACACGTACATATACGATATACTCGTAATATACGATATGTATTTATATATACATACTTATCTTTGACTGTAAACTGATTTTTTCCAAATAGATCAACGTGTCAATTTTGCATAGATATATAAAATTTATAAAAAAAAGGGCTGTAATTATTTTAAGATTGAAAATTTAATTGAATCTTTTAACTGATTTTGCAATATAAGATGATTTAGTAGAATAATAGAATTGTAACTATACGGTAAATTAATATTTTAATAGATGTGTTTAGGTAAATAGGTGTTTTGGTATATAAAAATTGTAGTACATACATAAGTAATTATGTTTTATATAATATAAAAACATCTGTACGCAATTACATAAAAAATAATTTAAATATACATTCAAAGAGGGTTTCTAACTAAATTTAAGAAGAGGACTAATCAAAGCAATTTGTGAAAAACTCAATTGGTAAATGAAAATGGTGTTCAATTAAATTCAAAAAATTAATTGGAGAACCTATTAAAGAAATATTACTGAAATTTAATAAAAATTACCATTGTTATTTGCATAAAATTTCTCTATTCTATTGTAATAAAATGTACCCATATGTACTTATGTATATTATAATGCATAAGCAGAAATGTATGTATCTACTTAGAAAAAATTATTCCTACCTATAGAAAAAGTAGGTACCTACAATACATTTATTTTTTCTTATTGAATTTCTGAAAGAAAATGCCGCATATGAAGAAACAGCAGGTATACAAAAATTTTTTTTTCCTTCAAATAGATAATTAAAGAAAAATATAATTTTTTAACCTAACACTTTGCTTTATTACCTTTAATATTCTATAATTCGAATTTAATTCATATTAAATTTCTACAATATAAAACCAATCTTTAATTAATTACAAAAAGTATATAAAAAATTACTTACAAATTTTATTTTTTCACCAGTTTTAAATTTTCTCTATGGGAGACTTTTAAAATATGCAGCATCCAACAAATCAAATATATGTAATAATAAAATAAAAAAAATCTTCTCTATGATTGCACAATTATAACACTATATTGGAATCTATATAGAAAAGCACACAAAATAGCACACATGCAAAAAAGAAGAATTATTTCAGATTTCTTCGGTACATCTACACCAGATATAATTTTATATCGATTTTTTTAATCTTCTCATGCAATTTTTTTATATATATATAAGTAAATATAATATATAAGTACTTATATATTATATTCTTGAATTTCTATTAAAATAGTTGTAATGAACAAATTTATATAAATTTTTTTAAAGCACAATTTTATAATTAAATTGTATTAATTTTCAAACAAAATTTCTTTTATATTTTTATAAAAAAATTTATGTATGATAATTTGTATAGAAAATTTTTTTTTTTATTTATTTATTTTTCTTTTTATAATCACGGTAAAAATAAATTAAACTCCGACAACGCTTTATTAACCGTTCAACACCAAAATACGAATAAACTCAGACTCACTTTTCACTATACTCATTAGCTATTTTCTACAGAAAAAAAAATTTCGGAGAAGAAAAATTGGATTTTTCTTTAATTTTTCTCTTTTCTAGTTGTCAATTTCATTATGACAAAAGGCAAATACATACAAAATTTTTTATTGAGGAAAAAATAGAAAAGAAAATTTAGATTTACCGATATTGTGATTCAATAGTGAAACAGGGTTGGATGTGTTAATAATTGTAGTATTTTTACTATTGGGTTTTTCTTATCGGTTTTTTATATAAAATATATAAAAAATTTCAATAATCTAAACGTCTTGGTTTTTTCGTAATTAACAGGCTTGATTTAAAAAAATGTCTCGGATGCCAAAAATTGTAGCTGTTGGGAGTTCTCCAACAATTTCACATTTGTCAACTTTCAATTTTAGAATAACAGGGCTTAAAAAGATTCGAGAACTTTATTTTTTTAACTAATATTTTTTGAACTAATTGGCTTTTCAAACTTTTTGCAAACAATTTCGGAATTCTTTTATGAGGATCGGATGAGCTATTTATGAGTGCAAATGTTTTCGTTTCATTTGTATACAGGACAAATATACGTACATACTGGATATAGATTTCTCTAATGCCCGTTTACAATTTTAATTTTACTCTTAATAAGTTTTATGGATCATTGACAATAATCAGCTTGGAAAATATTACTATGCATGAAGGTTCGCAAGTTCATAATTACAGTAACCTAGTTTTTATTGTCTGCAATATATTTTTTTTAGATACGTCTGTATAAATTATTTACTGACAATGTAGTTATGCACATGACCAAAATCTAAAAATTAATACTTTGGATAACTCAATAGAAAGTTGAATTTTATTTAGAAATTAAAAAACTTTTTCAGTTTAGAATTGCCCCTGTGGACTAAGGTTTTTAAGATTATTAACAAAGTTTAAATTTTAGTACGAATACCAAATTTGTAGTTTTCCAAAAGTTGTCTTTTGGTCATAAGTTACATGCATTGCCCAAACACCGAATCTATCGATAAGTTAATTATTGGTAAATAGCACTAGGTATATTGTATTAGTGTATGAATTATATTTCGACATTGTATTTAATAGTAGGAAAAGAATGTATATGCATGCGACCAGATTTTACTAAAAATTGAAAACCCAGTTTCATTTTCATAGCATTGACTACCCTGGAAACGAAATTTTTGCAAAATTTTTCAATCACTCAACACGAAAGTAAAATTAAAAAAATTTCTAATGACAGGTCCTTCGGTTTTTTTAGATAGTGTAGAAGTTAAAATGCTCCTAGATTCTAAAACAAAATTTCATTTAAAAAAAAAACCTGCAGAAGAACTGCAATTCATTGATTTTAAATAAATACACTTCATTTATATCATGTTATTTTTTAATTTCTTCTATTGAAATTATTAGTTGCAGGTTGGGTAAGTTGAAGACCTCTAATATTGTTGAAATCTAACATTTTCAACATCTCTTTTGTATCTGGATCAACTTCAATAATATCTTGCTCTAAAGCAGATACAGCTGGAACATAATTATCACGACGTTCACGTTCTTCTTCTTGTAATTTAATAGATATACCACGAACTTGTGATTGCCTTAAGCGTCCCATTACGTGTGTGACATACCTAAAACAATTATTTTATTAGTATGTAAAACATATAAACAAAGTCATTTTAACATTTCACTTAAATTGTTCATATAAAAATATAATATGTAGCAAATTATTTTCCTATGTACTTACCCAGCAATTTTGTTTCTTAAGGGTTTTGTGGGAATAATAGCAACTTCTTCACATATTCTTTTATTTGTGTGAAAATCTAAAGTTAGACGAGTATAGTATTTCTCGATGATAACTTTTGCAGCTTTTTTAATTGTTTTAGTACGTACGCGACCCTAAAGTAATTAAAAAATCATTAGAAGATTTAATAATTTAATAGATTTTTTTAATAAAACCTTAATATTAATTACGATTTAGTCAATATTTAAAAATTTATTTTTAATTTATTTTCAAGTACTCACCATTTTTGCGTTTTTTACCGGAAAAGAACTAAATCAGAAAGAAATCTGACAACGTCAAAAAATGCTTTCGAGAATCGTTCTATTAAACGTCTTACAATGGAGCTACAACTCCTCCTTTGGAAATCTTCAAATGAAAATTTACATGTACATATGTATACAGTTAGCAAAGTAAATTGTGAATTATACAAAGAAAACATTTGCATTTATTATTATAAAATATTTGAATTTATTTTCTTTTACATTCTTTTATCGGTTCGTGTGAATTAACGGATTTAAATGCAATTCAACTTTTTGAAATACATTAGTTCGTTACGAAAGCGATGAGGTTGGACAAATGAATTCAAACTAAGCAATGAGTTTCTTAGATGATGAAAAGTATGGCACAGTACATTTTACGCTAGAGAGGCCAACTTCTTTTAAAAGATTTTTAAATGACAAACGCGTGGTCCTATTTCAAATTTTCACTTATCTATAATACATTATAGAAATTAGACGAGTTTAGAAAGTAAAAAAAAATGTATGTATAGGAAATAAAATTAGAGAAAATATAAAAGAAAGAGTGTATTGCTAGACTCTTAGTTAAGTACGTCTGTAGGCTTTTTTGTTTTTTAGCTCAGAGGATTAATCTGATTATATTTAAATTTCAAGAACATGCGTGGCCTGTATAATCTGAATTGATACTGGCAACTCTATTTTTATATCGAGTCTCTAAAAAGGAGCTTTTTGTCAGCCGTGCTTCAAAATCGAAAAATGAAAAGGAGCTTTAATTTTTATGACTTCTGGACCTGAACGAAAATTTTAGAGGTACGTATTGCAATACCATCCGGCAATTTAAAAGTATTTTTTTTCATTTTAATAGTAAATTAATTAAATAATAATAAAAGTCAGAAAAAAAGTAATTCAACATTAATAATATCATTCAAACTCATATTTTTATCTAAAATAGTAACACAAATTTGAAATTTAAAAATTTGGTATTTTACGTAATCATCTTTTAAAAAGTGAAGTTTTATTTGAATTTACATAAGAAGAAAAAAATTCTTATGGGTCTTATAAATTTAATTTTACGAGTTCAACCATAAATTTCATGTCAGAGTGAATTGCATTTTATAAGCCCATCTTAAACCTAAAATTGTTTTCAATATGGTTACGAATAAAACATTTCATATCTACACGCGTCAATAATTAAATTTCAGAATTATTTTAACTAACTATAGAACGATGGTAAAAGATTTATTTGCACCTCGTGATATACACACATATATGTGTTTTATATTTCTAAATATTTCAAATCAATTAGATTTTTGGTTTCTATTGCTCAATATATAAAGTAAAATAGCTAGAAATAGGTTAGAGTTATAAGTGTTATGCAAGTTTCAGACTATTTTCTTTTTATCATTACAGGTACAAAAATGTTTAATGTGATAAATACTGTTTCAAGGACGAATAAGGTCCTACCAGCTTTGTTGAATTTCAACAGGCAATATGCTGCAAAAGCTGCTGGTAAAGTAGCAGCAGCCAGTAATGGTAGGGTAAGTTATAGATATTTTTTATTTTTATCGAAAAATTTTAAGCAAATTTATAATGGAAATTGCAGGTTGTCGCTGTTATTGGCGCTGTTGTGGATGTCCAATTCGACGGTGAACTTCCATCGATTTTGAACGCCCTTGAGGTCCAAAATCGTTCACCACGTTTGGTTTTAGAAGGTAGGTGTCCATCTGTCTGTCTTTCATATTAAAATACAAAAAAAAATTCTTTGTTCAGTTGCCCAGCATTTAGGAGAAAGTACTGTAAGAACAATTGCTATGGATGGTACAGAAGGTTTGGTACGTGGTCAAAGTGTCAATGATACTGGGGCTCCAATTCGTATCCCAGTAGGAGCAGAAACCTTGGGTCGTATTATCAATGTAATTGGTAAGATTGTTATGGAGAAAAAAGAAAATTAAATAAGTTAAGTGTATTTAAACTATTACTTGAATTTAGGTGAACCAATTGACGAACGCGGTCCTATTCCAACCGACAAAACTGCTCCAATTCATGCTGAAGCTCCTCCATTTGTTGAAATGAGCGTCGAGCAAGAAATTCTTGTAACTGGCATCAAAGTTGTAGATTTATTAGCTCCATATGCCAAAGGTGGTAAGATTGGACTTTTCGGAGGAGCTGGCGTAGGAAAAACTGTGTTGATTATGGAACTTATTAATAACGTAGCAAAGGCCCATGGTGGTTATTCAGTATTTGCCGGGGTTGGTGAAAGAACACGTGAAGGAAACGATTTATACAATGAAATGATTGAAGGTGGTGTTATTTCATTGAAAGACAAAACATCAAAAGTCGCACTTGTATATGGTCAAATGAATGAACCACCAGGCGCCCGCGCTCGTGTTGCTTTAACTGGATTAACTGTTGCTGAATATTTCCGTGATCAAGAGGGACAAGATGTATTGCTCTTTATCGATAACATTTTCCGTTTCACACAAGCCGGTTCAGAAGTATCTGCCTTGTTAGGTCGTATTCCATCTGCTGTAGGTTACCAACCAACTTTGGCAACTGACATGGGCTCTATGCAGGAACGTATTACAACAACTAAAAAGGGTTCAATTACATCAGTACAAGCTATTTATGTACCAGCTGATGACTTGACTGATCCTGCTCCCGCAACAACTTTTGCCCATTTAGACGCAACAACTGTATTATCACGTGCCATTGCTGAATTGGGTATTTATCCAGCTGTAGATCCTTTGGATTCAACATCTCGTATTATGGATCCAAATATTATTGGTGAAAAACATTACAATGTTGCTCGTGGTGTACAAAAAATCTTACAAGATTACAAATCCTTACAAGATATTATTGCTATTTTGGGTATGGATGAATTGTCTGAAGAAGATAAATTAACAGTAGCTCGTGCACGTAAAATCCAACGTTTCTTATCACAGCCATTCCAAGTCGCTGAAGTTTTCACTGGTCACGCTGGAAAACTAGTACCATTAGAACAAACTATCAAAGGTTTTTCTCAAATTTTAGCTGGAGAATATGATCATTTACCAGAAGGTGCTTTCTATATGGTTGGACCAATCGAAGAAGTTGTAGAGAAAGCCGACAGATTAGCCAAAGAAGCTGGTGCATAAGCATGTTAACAAAATTTTTGTTTGATTTTCCAACAATATGTTAATTATGTTCTACTTTAAAGTAATTTTAAGTTAAAAAAAAACATCTTTATAAAAACGAGAAAATTTCACATTAAAACACAAATATAAAAATATTGGAATGAATTTTATTATTTTCATCAATATTCTTTATTGATACTTATACGCGATTATGTTAATACCTTAATGTTAATTTAAATAAAAGAACTTTGTGAAAATCGATTAAATTGTTTTAAGTACGTAGCGTTTAGAGGATCTTTAGAGCTTTAATTGAAGTATGAAGACTCGTTGTAATTGGAACAAATATATTTTAAAATGAAATTCACGGAATAAAATTTTTGATTCAATTCTTTGCTATTTGAAAAGCTTGCTTATAATTTCAAAGCAAGTATAGTCGATACTCCCGGAAGAAATTTTTTGAATTGAGAAAAATTGGTACCTATCCGAAACTAAATTTATTTCAGATAATAGAAATTTAATTTTTTCTAACAGTTCACTATGTTCAAATATCTAATGTCTGAAAAAAAAACATTTTTGCAAACCACATAATCAGCAGTTCATATTATTTTTCAAAATAATATGCAATTTTTCATAATAATAAATTTTTCATATTTTGATACCTACTTTAAAATCAAATTTAAGTGCAGACGGCACAAGGTTACACAAACATTTCGAACTAAGAAGTATATTGATATTGCCGTTGGAATTTTAAGTTGAAATGGATTTAATTTTAATCGCATTAAAATCTACATTCTACTTAGGAGACAAATGTAACTCTTCTGCTGAATTATTAATATTAGACCTGCATCTTGATAAAATATATATTGATTGAACAGAATATGCACATCTTGATTGATTTTGGTTTTATACAATAAACAGATTTAAATTATGTACATGCTCATATCTTCCATGGTGGAGAATTGGCTTCAAAGAACTAATAAAACAGATAAGAAATTTTTTACAGATTATGTTATTATGTTTTTCTATACAAATTATTTTTGGAAAATAGCTAATTAGTTTCTCAAACTAATCTGTCTATTCAAGAAGACTTCCAAAACCAACCTGTTTTATAAAAAAGTGCTGTCGACCTGATTTTCCTTCATTATTTCTACCAGAATTATAATTTAGTATTAATATGTACTTAATTTTTAACAATACATAAATTCTACGAAACACATTTTGTATTATGAACGGTTTTCCTTGATGAAATTGTGTTTTATTAAGATAAACTTATAATGAGGATGGAAATATGCAAGTAGATTTATTTAAAATTTTATAATAATTTAAATTGTATAATATTCAGAAGCGTATACTAGTATTTTTTTAACATTTTTTTTTATTTTCAATGCGGGTTTTCTTTAAACATATAAGCCTTTATTACTATGTTATAATGTATTAAAACAAACAATATTAAATTTTAAAGTCGAAACAAAAAATACCTTAATTACATGAATAAAAATGCATTATTTTTTTTATTTCTCTTTAAGAGATTACATTATATGAACAAATATTTTTAAAATTACTAATATACAAATATTGAACAGAATCATTTAAAGTTTGAAATTAAAAAATACAAAAATTGAAAATAATGTACATTATACAAAAAAAAAGAACTATATTATGTCTTCAGCGGAAAAAATTCATTAAACGGCATAAAAGTTTAAGTATTTCAACAAATCCACTTTTTTCTGTATTTTACAAAATTGTCTGTATTGTCTTTAAAACACTGGAAACTCTATTCAAAAATATTATTTTCCTTAAACGCATATTTAAAAAAGTAATTTTGGGTAACGAAGATAAAATAAAAGTAAAATTAAAAGTTACTGGGTTTGAAAGAGGGTTATTTAATTTTTTTTAATTAAATCTGATTACTTTCATTCAATAATAATTATCATATTAGAAATAAAATAGAATAAAAAAAATAATTGAACAGGAAAATTATTACCATTTTTTATATAAATTATTATCATAAATAAGAAAATAAAGCTAACTAAATAAATTCTCTGTCGCTTTTTCAATATCCCAATTTTCTTTTGATAGAACAGCCCTGGCTTCATGTTCATCAATACCCATGTCTCTTAAGCGTTGAATTTTAGCATCACAATCAGCAAACTTATGAGGACCTTAAAATATGTTATACATAAATGTCGGAATAAGTTTTTTGTCAAACATAAAATAAATACCTCCAGCATATGCATTTGTCCAATGCCTAGCGGTAAGTACAAAAAGTGGATAATTTTCTTTATATTGTGTAGCTACTACAGCGTCTTGGGGATCATCTAATAAAAACAAAAATAATTTTTTTTTATTGAAATATTATGCTGTTAAAACAATAATTTACCTGGCTCAGCCGCAGCCAAAAGCGCTTGTAATGAGAGAAGAACTGTTCTTAAAGTCATAGCAGCAGCCCTTTAATATACAAAATCTTTTTAATGAAATTTTCTTATTATTTAAAATATTAATTACCAATTGTCTTTTAATATATCTAAACAAATAGCTCCCGTAACAGATGAAATATTTGGATGCCATATTTTTGTGATAAATCGAACCTTAAAGAAAAATATATTTTAAAAAACAATAAAGCAATAATTCTAATTTTATTACCTTAGGGGGATTAAATGGATAAGTTTCTGGCACTTTTATTTCCAACAAAAATTTCCCACCTTCATATGGTGTATCTGGTGGACCACCAATTTCACCTTTTAATTCTGTCCAGCTATCGTTTAACAATTCTATTTTTATTGAACATTGCACAATCTGTAAAAATCAATATTAAAAGATTAAATGACATGATTAACATAAATTTTCTTATGATGTTGAAAATATTTTATAAATTTACCAAGACGTAATGAAACAGAATATATTAATTTGGGAATTTATTAAAATACTGTGATAGTATAGCAGAGTGAAAATTGAAAATTAAAATTATTAAAATCAAAATTTTATTATTAGCACGTTCAAATATAATGAGAAGTACTTTGTGTTTGTGGGAATTTTACTTTTCGAATTTTCGTAATAATTTTCTTAGGAGCATATTTTGGTGATAAATAGGTTCATAATTGAGTTTCAAGTCCAAATTGCACAACTTTAAGAAAAAAGATTTAACTGCCTAGAAATTGAAAATTTCAAAACTTCAAAATTTTTATAAAATTTTTTTAAAATTATATTTGTTGCTAAAATATAAAAATTAACATTAACTAGATAAAAATGAAGAAAATTTAAATGCTTTTTTTTTTGTTTTTTTTTTTTAATATAAAAGATTAATAACCTCGCGTTAGAATCTTAAGTTGCAATTTATCAACTAGAAAGTTGAAGAGATTCCATTATTTTTGAAAAAAAAAGACTTAAGCATACGAAATTTTTAATCCCTTCACAATTGAGTAGTGAAAATTAAAAATAATTTCAGCTCAGAAAATTTTTCGTACCTTGATAATTCCATTTGAACATGCTAATTTTATAACCATTGTTCTACTCACATAACATTTGTGAAATAATATGGTGCAACTTGAGAAATAATAACAAGAATTAAATATATTGTTCGTTTAATAAATATCCAAAAATTTTAAATAATTCAAAAATTAAGTTTTTGGAAATTATCTTCGACCTACCTCTTCACTTTTGACGACTTCTTTAAATTCTCGTTTAATACGAGATACTGCCATATTAATAGACATTTTGACTTAAATGTTTTTTTTTTAATAATATTTAGTGTAAAATAATATGTTTTTCAATATAAGAGTTGGGGAAATTTAAAATAAAACTTTTTAAGGTTTTAAATTTAATCTCTATTTAAATATAGTTATTAGATACAAAACACAAAAGGTTACAAGAAAAAAATTTTCACCCAAGCATTATTATAAAATAAATACACAAAGGAGTAGTGTTAAATTTTAAAAATCAAATTACTAGAACAAATTAATAAATATTCATAGAAAATTCTAATTTCTTTAATTTAAAATACAATATTTTTCAACTTTAAGCCCGCGCGAATTAAATATTGTACAGAAAAACTGAAACTCTTGCCTTGTCTTTTTTTTCTTTTTTGCAAATCTAAAACTTTTTTGATATTTTTGACAGTTTTCAGATACGAAAAATAAGTGTTACCATCTCATGAGAATTAGTAAATTATTAAATTATTTTAAGACCATCTGTGTTTTCAATCATTTTTCATCTAAAAATTAAATTAATGAATTAAAATTAGTAAATGTCATTTTAAATAGCTGGAAAATGCTCAGTACAATGAATAAATTTTTAAATATTATAATATTTGAAAGAAATTTTAATTAAAATATATTAAAATATACGTGTACATTTTAATATATTATAATTATTATATATATAATTGCAGAAAATTTTGTTTCAAAATTTGTTGGTATTCTTAAAAAAATATTATCACGCTTATATGACAGCTTGAGTAACTGACTTGAAATCATTTTAAAAGCCAAGCTGCGTTTTTACTAGTCAGCGTCCAGCTATTACATCTCAAATCACTATTAAGATTTCAAGTCAAGTCAAAATGTTCTAACTGATTTTTGTGAAGCCGGCTTCAAATTAAGTAATGTTCATATAACGTCTTAACATACTAAAAAGTGTTACCACTTGATATATTATTCAAAAAATATGTTTGAGATTAATTTAAGTGCGAAAATCAAATAACTCAATTTTCAACATATCCCTGAACTAGCAACTGCGCAATTTTTATGTTTTTAATTTAAAAGCTTTTATTTTTCAGTTGTCAGACGTGATGTTATAAATATTTGAGAAAAAAAAAGCTTTAGAAAAAAATACTTTAAAATTGACAAGTTCTGGAGATATTTTGATTAAAAATTTTGTATTTAGTTGTGATGCCAGTATCTGCAAACAACCCGATTCGAGCTAAGTCTTTGATAACCAGAAAAATAGAGAAATCTCAACAACCAAGTCATTTATTACAATCAAGGATGCCTAATATTAAAGTATTCTCAGGTACATCGCATCCTGATTTAGCTCAAAGGATCGTTGACCGTTTGGGTATTGATTTAGGCAAAGTTGTTACTAAAAAATTTAGCAATTTGGAAACATGGTAAGTGCAATTAAATACTAAGAGACAACAATTTTTTTTTTACGCAACAACAAACTAATTTAAATTAATTAAAACTTTTAAATTTCAATATCAGTGTTAATAGATTTTATCAAAGCCAATATAATTCTGTGAAATAAAATTAATTAACATTTTTTCTATTTTTTTTTTTTCTTCATAATATAATGACGATAACAAAGAATCTATAATATTTTTTTTAGAGGTTAAGAAATTAATGCTTGCAATATATACGAATTTATTCTTGGTATTACAATGTATTTAAGGTATAGAACTCGATTGATAGCTTAAGACACGTTTTTATATCGATCAAACAACAATCATCATGCTTGTTTGTTGAAGTTAAAAAACTTTTGTAAGATCAAAATTTGTAATTTAAATTGAGTTGAAAAAAAATTTAATAAACAAGTTTATTGTAAATTAATATTGTAATAGAATAAAATTATAATTATATAAACAAAAATGTAAAAATATATGTAGGGTAGATAGTTACCTACATTATGTAGGTTTAAAAAGGTAGCGTCTTAGGTGTAGGCAAGGAAAATAATATTTAAATAAGTAGTTGCTTACCTACATAGATACCTGTGAATTTATAACTATAATATATATGTAATATAATATGAAAATACATTTACATACCTGTAGCCATATAGCATTATAAGATATTTTAAAAGTTTAATATGTTTTTCAATAATTTTTTTGGATTTGAATTTATATTTTGTGCCAAATCTAAATTTGTTTTGATATGGGTACATTCAGCATGTTACTTGGACATGTAGATGTATACCTACATATATATTTAAAAATCAAAAGAGCAAAATACAGTAACTAATTCTAATTGAAGTTCGAATTTTATATAAATTCTATATATGCACAGGTACCTACAATACCTAATGCGTAAGATTTTAATTAGGTACTATACTTGTAATTTACATCAACTTATTTTCAATATGGAATGGTAATTTGCGATTATTTAGGGGCTTGTACTTGTTTAAAAATCATTGTTGATCATTTTACTTAGGTTATCTTTTTACCCCGCATAGATTTTCTTTGATTTGCTCTTTTATTTTCATGTATTTTTATGATGTGCAAAGATACAAGCAATAAGATACCTTAAAAGTTGGCGGTTAAAATTTTTATTTACTTGGTTATTTCTTATTAAATTGCTGTATGTAATTTTTATTACAATTTAAACGCTTAATAAGCATACCATAAGTAGGAACTTTATTACATAAAAGCTAATATATAAGTACCCAGGTTATACTTATTTAAGTTGATGCAAATCATTCGTCAAATTGAACTGGTTAAGAATTATGTACATATATATATATTTATTTTAATACATTGATGGTATATTTAACATAATCGTTATCATGTGATTGTTTCAATCAACTTGTTTTGTTTATCATTATAAATAATCTTATACAAAATTAAGAGCATCAATAGAGTTATTTTTCTTACTTAGAAAATGAGCAAATCAGATGAAATGATTTTTATATTTTTTTTTTCCATTTATGTATTTATTTTTGATTTGTTGTTTACTAAAAAATTATTGCTTTCAAATCAAATTAAACAATATTTTGTTACTATGAATGAAAAATATTCTATCTTATATTTAATGACCTTTTAGGATCTTATCAAAATTTTATTGAAAACTACATTTTGATTATTGTGTCTAGATCATCTTTTGTTTATTTATTTTATAATTCATGGAGAAACTGTGTATGTATATAATTAAAAAAAAAATACAATTTTAGGGAAACATTTTATGATCCAGAAATATTTAATTTCAATTAAGATTAATATTTGATTTTTGACCTGCCTATTCATTAATATTCAGTTTTTTGAATATGAATGAATAGGTAGGTTTGAACACGAACATTTTGGCAAGGTTTCGTGTTTAAACCTACCTACTTTCTTTCTATTAGATTAATTAGGCTATATTTTTTTTAATATTCGAATCCGAGACTTATAAGAAATCGAAGATTTTTGAACAGTTTTTGTTATTTAATTAAACAAAATTTTTTTAATTTTTTCATCAGTGTTGAAATAGGTGAATCAGTTCGTGGCGAAGATGTTTACATAGTACAATCCGGATCTGGTGAAATTAATGATAATTTAATGGAATTATTGATTATGATAAATGCTTGTAAAATTGCATCAGCATCCAGAGTAACAGCAGTTATTCCATGTTTTCCTTATGCACGTCAAGATAAAAAAGACAAGGTAAAATGATATAAAAAATTTTTTTTTAAATCGTTCTTTTTCAAAATCTATTCAAAAATTTTATGTCTTAAGTTTAAAAAAAAAAAAATTAAACATTTTTTTTTTTAAACTTAACAAAAACATTTTTTTTTTTTAAATCAAAATAATTAAAGTGTTGAAAAATTTACTTAAAAAATATTAAATTAGCAAAAATCGATAGATCTTCAAAAAAAAAAAAATTTCTTTCGTAATACCTATTGGTTCCTTCAAAAATGATTTGTGGTAGTTTTCAACTATTAAAATATACAAAACTAGTTGGTAAAAAGCAAAATTCTCAAATTTAAAATTAAGTTTTTAGTAGTAACACTTTAAAAACTTAAAAAATGTACATTTCGACAGATTGGTGCAGAGGAGGAATCGAAACTTAAGAAGTCACTGCAAAACTTTGATCGGAAATTCAGGGTATATCGATAATATTATTGTTTTCTTATAAAATAATAAAAAAAAAATATTTTAAACTAGTTTTTAAAAAAAATTTCATTTATAATTATAAAGGATTCAATTTAAAATTGAGTAAATATTAAAAATTAGAAAAAAAAAAAACAAAATTTAATGTTAATATCTAGAATCATAAGGGGAGAGTATTATTTAATATTTTTTTGTGTTTTCCGTCATTAGTTGCATGAATTTATTTATATGTTTTCCGTTTAAAATTTAAATTTTTATATACAAAAAAAATATATAAAATGTCTAATATTATGAGAAAATGATCTTAAATTTTAATAGACGTTAATGGTTTTAGAGTAAACCTAAATAGTTTTGATAATTTATCAACAAAAATGTTAGCATTTATTAAACTTCTGATGTTTAATTGCAAAATATGTATTTTATTTATTTAATAATTAAATTAATTTAAATAAGAACAATCATGTTTTTCAATAAACGCAAAATTTACGAAAAGTATAATAATATTGAGGGTAAATAATTTACAATTAAATTCCTTAACTCTTTATGATCTGTGAAATTATGGCAGGATGATTGTCATCATTCTTTTTACAATAGATATATAAAATAATTTATTTTTTTAGTATTTAATATATTTTTTTTTAAATTTTTGAAAATCTCATATTAAAATAAAATAATTCAAACATTTTATATATTAAGGCCTGATAAAATACTAAAGGGTTCTAAAAAAGAAATAATAAATAAATAAACATTTTATATCTAGATAAATTACAATTAAATTTTTGGTTAGATGCAATAATTCCAATTTTATATTAAGATTCCTTGTACATTTTGAAATCTGATTGTAAGATTTAATATTTCATTAACCTTTATGTGCATACCTACATGAAATTGAAAACATCTTTTTTTATAAATGCTAACATTTTGTGAAATATTTTGAAACAAAAAATGCAGAAAATATTTTTTTACATAAATTTAGTTTGAATAGAAAAATATACAAAAAAAAATAAGTAAAAATTCTTGTTTTTTTTTAAAAGCTTAAGTTGCATTATAATTGTATTTAATTTTATATGTCTGTTATTTTCGTGTCCAAAAAAAAAAAAAAAAAACAAAATAAATTTTTGTAATAAATAACTTGGTTTATTGTTAAATATGAATAACATTTTATACATTTATTTTCTAAATCATTAGTAAATAACTACCATAATTAGAAAATATATATATTTACAATCATGTACATATATATGTATTATTTGTTAGAAATTTGTGCTCTATTTGCTCTACTTCTTCTTCTTCTTTGAATTTATTCAATATAAGGGTTATATGTTTACAGAAAAATAAATATAAATATTTTTTTAACTTATAATTATGAAATATTGGGACCTGGGATCGTCAAAGTTTTAATCATTCACATTTTTGTGAATCCTTTCATTCATTTTTGCTATCACCATTAAAAAATGAATTGTCAAATATTGTGCAGTGAAAGGCAGTTTTTATCTTTCACTCATTTTTCTTTTCAATTTGTCTTTTGTGACAATAATGACAGGACCATTGCTACTCGTAAAATGGTGTTTTTATAAAATAAATTAAAAGTTTTCATTTTAATAAAAATAAAAATTGTGTAGGAGCAATATAAAACTCTAATTTTAATGTTTCTAATATTATTATTAAAAGTTACCATTAACAGAAATGAGAGTAGGCATAAATCATATTTATTTTTTATTTATTCTATGTTTTTAAGAATAAAATAAAAATATTTTTAAAAGTAACAATAAATAACAAGAGAATGACGTAAAAATTGCGGTCACACATTGAAATCGATACGATCATAATTAATTTTTTGTTTTTTTTATATAAATAAAAACATTATTTACTTCGTTATTTTTGTATTCAATATTTGCAAGGAAAAAAAAAAAGAAAAAAATCATTCGTAAGCAAAAAATAATTGATATTTTTCTTTTATTTTATTCATTTTTTTACATGTTGTTATTACATTTTCATACTTTCTTAGTATTTTAATGAACAAAACAATTATTTAAAAAAATGTACACAAGCTAAAATATTTTTTTGTATAGAAAAAATATTGATAAAGTTTTGATAACCTTTTAGAATTTCTTTCATGCATTGATTTTTTTTTTTCTTAAATAATATTATATTTATGTACATATGACTGCAATTTACAATTTTAAATTATTGAAACAGAAAATATTATTGAATTATTTTTATTTTTTATATAAAAATTAATTCACATTTTTTTTTTATGTTTTCAAATCTATATAGTAATTTTGATAAAATCTCAATGGTATAGCGTAAAAAAAAAAATAATTTCTATTACGTATTCAATCAGAATGATGGTATTATTTATGTTAAGGTGTTATCGATAATGCAAAATGCGCGTTGAATGCTTTTGCATTTTAATCGATATTGTAATTAATAAAAGCAGTAGTATTTACATTTGTAGTATAACAAATCAAAAAATAAAATGTCACATAATTAATCAGACATATAGTTAATATTTTTTGCAATATTTGTAATTAGAAAAATTTTAACTCTTTCTGTGTAAAATGGAAGATTTTTGTAGAGGATAATAAATAACATTTAAAATGTCAAATTCATGTTATTAAAAATAATAAATCTGATTGTAAGCAAGATTTTTTGATTGCAAAAAATTTTTTTTGCATAAATTATCATTTGCCGGTTGGTGACCGTTTGATGCAATTGTTATGGACTATCATTTGACATTATGGATAACACCTTTATTTAAATAATAAAATTGATTTCTTTATTACTTCCTTATACTTATTATACAAGATTTAAATGTTAAAAAAAAATTGGTCGTTTCAATTGCCAACCAAAAATTTCTTAAATAAAAACCTAAAATATTTTTAGACTTCAAGGAACTTAAAATTAATTGATCTTCAAATTATTGTTAAATGTTCTCGTTAGATCAAATCAAAATTATTCGACTTAAGCATTCTGTTGTTAGATTTTATAATTTTTTGTTTTTATTTCTGCACATAAGTTCACATTGCACAATAAAAAATATAATAAATTTTTTAAAGGGAATCTTTTGTTTTTTTATCAGCCAATTATAATTTCTTTTATTGAAAAACTCTTATTTCTAATTTCTCTATTATATTTATTTTTATAGGAATTTTCATCAAAACAGTATACTGTGAGTAATTTCTTTGTGAAACTTTTTGTTTTCTTTATTTTCCTACCCGTTGTTTTTGAATTTTCGCATACCCCTTTTTTTAAAGCCATAATTTTGCCATAAAACTTAGTTGATCAAAAAATTTAGTACATTTATATATAAAAGTTAGGGAAATTGTAAATATATTAATTGTGTTTTAATTTATTATTTTAATAGTTCTTTTATTAGTTTTCAAATATATAATTATTTTTTACAGTACATATTAAAATTAAATTCTTTGTATATTTTTTTAACGATTTCGTTATTAAGTATCAAATATAGAACTTTAAATGCATTAAAAAATATGAAAATTAATTAAAAAATATACTGGTTTATTTTAAATTCTTATAAAATATTCTGTAGATAATAATAAATTTCGTTTTATATTTAATAAATTAAATAAATTTAAGAATATCTTATTAACAATCATGATAAGAATCCATTACAAAAGAAATTTCGAATTTCTTATATCAATTTATTTATGTTTTATCAATTTATATTTATTATTAAATTAATATAACAGAAATTTTATTAATTTAAATTTATATCGAAAATATTCAATTTTATTTCATCCTATATATCAAAAAATATTCAATAACCAAGAATGCACATATACCCATATTCTGTTAGTCGTTCCGCTTTCTATTCAAAAATTTTGTGCTATACAGAATAAAATCAATTTCGAAACTTGAAATTCTATTAGGAAAACCAAAGTATTTTTCAATAATACCAAATACCTAGCTAAAATACATTTAAAACAAATTACTATGAACCTGTAAAAAATTGTTAATGTATTTTGAAATAAATATTTTTACTAATAAAATTTTAAATTAAAATTATAAATTTCTCTAAAAAAAATAAATGTACAAAAATTACAAAACAAAATTATGAAAAACATTTGTTTTTTTAACTCAAATTTTGACGAAGGAATGGAAAAAAGAATTGAAAAGTGTGCTAAAACAAAATTTTTTTCATTAATTTGCATATTGTTTTTTAATATTTTTTTTCTACTTTGCATGACTGTAGTTATTTGATTATCCTTAAATTAATACCAAAAAAAAAAAAAATTAAATTATATTTAATTAAAATTATTATTTTAAATTTTTTATATATAATTCGCGTATAAATTCGCTTTATTCCATAATCTCGAAAAACTTCTCAAAATGTAAATTATAAATAAAAATTAGAATAGTAGCGTTTTAATAGAATCAACAATATTAAAAAAATATTTAAAATATTTTGGAAGATTCTCTTAAGTTTCGATAAATTTTTCTGGAACCGCATGTCATTTAAAAATATTATGTAATTATGTAGTTATCATCGTCAAATGTAATTATTTTTTATTTGAATTAAAAATAAAATGTTCATAAATAAAAATTAAAATTTGTAGAAATTTTCAATTAAAAATAACCATTATTAAAATGTAATGTAACTGCTTTACTTCAGTTATACTTTTCTATCCCATACTGCTTAAGCTTGTTTTTAATCTTCAATAATTCAAACAAATTTTATATTTAAATAATATCAAAATGTTCAATGTTATGGTTCAGTATATTTTACAATTTGAATTTTATTATTAACGTGAATAAAACAAAATTTATGTAATTATTTTGTATAAGTCGAAAAGTAGAAATTCTTAAACTGAAACATAGAATATTGAATTGCTTATATTACACATGTAAAATTCTCGTAATTCAAATTATAAATATTTAGTATGAAATTTTAAAATTTCCACATTAATTTATAAAATACCAATTTAACAAAAACAATCTAAAATTTTAGACCAAATTAGATAGAAAAGGTTATTGTTTTCCAATATAATCCTTTACATTTGAGGTTTATTTTTCGAGATTCCACTCATTATTATTAACAAAAAAATTAACATTTAAAATATCATAAATATTGAGACAAATTCGATTATACTTATATTAAAATTGAACAAAATTAATTTTGTTATGTTTTTGATTTACATAAGTCCATTTTGTAAAAAAAAAAAAAATAAGAAATTAAACTGGGATTTTAAAAATATTTATAAAAAATATTGGAACATAATTTTAACTTTCATATTATTATTATTGTCTTTATTGCAATTTTCCAAATTATCATACTACATACATATATAATTTTAATATATTTAAGTAAAACTTATTAACAGTTTTATCAAAAATAATAATAATATCTGGTAATATACATACATAATTAAAAAAAAATTACATTATATACATACATTTATATAAAAAAAAGCAAGTGTTCATTTAATTTTCATGAATCTTACATTTATTATTTACAAATTTTACAGAGTCGTGCTCCAATTTCAGCAAAATTAGTTGCAAATATGCTTTCAGTTGCTGGAGCAGATCATATTATCACAATGGATCTTCATGCCTCGCAAATTCAAGTATGAATTCTAATTGATATGCATTATTTTTAAATATTTTTCAAAATTATATAAAATTTTTTTTATTTTTAGGGATTTTTTGATATACCAGTAGATAATTTATATGCAGAACCAGCTGTATTAAAATGGATTAAAGAAAATATACCAGAATGGAGAAATTCTATAATTGTATCACCAGATGCTGGTGGAGCAAAACGTGTTACTTCGATAGCGGATCGTTTAAATGTTGAATTTGCTTTGATACATAAAGAAAGAAAAAAAGCAAATGAAGTTGCATCAATGGTATTAGTTGGTGATGTTAAAGATAGAATTGCAATTTTAGTTGATGATATGGCTGATACTTGTGGTACAATTGTTCATGCAGCTGATAAACTTGTAGAAGCAGGTGCTACGAAAGTATGTAAACAAATTTAAAAGAATATTAAAGAATATTCTGCCTCCCCACCTTAAATGTTCAAAGCTAAAATTAGAAGAATAATTTTAAAATTTTTAATTCAAATTTTTTTTAGGTATATGCTATACTTACTCATGGAATATTTTCTGGACCTGCCATTTCAAGAATAAATAATGCTTGTTTTGAAGCCGTGGTTGTAACTAATACTATTCCTCAAGATGGTCATATGAGAGATTGTCCTAAAATACAAGTACGAAAAACTATATTTAATAAAATTGTAAAGTAAACATAACTGATTATTGTCTCTTTTTTTTTTTTTTAGTGTATTGATGTATCAATGATGTTCGCAGAGGCTGTCCGAAGAACACATAATGGGGAGAGTGTTTCTTATTTATTTTCAAATGTTCCATATTAATTCATACAATTTTTTTACACGTAAGAATCTTTTATACAAGGAAAAGAGAGAACAAAAAAGTTGAAAATTTTAAAGGATAAGAATTTTTTTTTTTTTTGATTTTTAATTGTTGATGTACTAAGAAAATTTCATTTTTATTATACATAATTAATTAATCAATCAAATTTATTTCATTGTAAATGAAAAGCAAATCAATTGTTTATACATACACGCAAATTTTTATGTAGACATATTAATTTTAAAAAATTATTATAATATACAAAAAGGAAACTTTTTTAACCAAATTTTTTTAAAGCAGAAATTGTTTTTTTAATACTAAATCGAAAAAAAAACTGATTAGAAAAAAATGGGTGATTACAAAATAGAAAAATAAAAAACCACATACAAGGTACATAAATGTGTACATATTGTGTCGTAGAATTGAAACAACTAAATTTAAAAAAAGGAGTTTAATATTATACAATAAAGACTTAAAAAAAAACTAACCGAATTTGTGTATTATTTAATGTTTTATTTCATGATTTTTATGCATAATCTTATACAAAAAAAAAGAGAAAAATTTTAACACAATTTAATAGAATGAATAACAATAAGAAGGGCACAATATGTAGTTTTTTGATAAAAAACATATTTGTATCGTTTTCGTTTGAATACTCAATTACAATCTTGTGACCTATAACTTTTAATTTTGAATTTAAATATTATAAATATACAAATAAATAAAAAAATTCTTAAAAAAACTTTTTTTTGTACAATTTATATGCATAAAGTAGCTTTATTTTTATATGTAATATGCATAAGGTTTACGTCTTCTTATTAAGTAAAAGATTTTTTTTTGTATTTTACTTCGCATTCAACTTAATACTCGGTTTCATTGCAATCTTCTTCAAATTCAGCAGTATCGCCAGATACTTCTTCAAAATCCCTTTCTAAGGCTGCCAAATTTTCTCTGGCTTCACTAAATTCACCTTCTTCCATACCTTCTCCAACAAACCAATGTATAAAAGCCCTCTTCTTGAACATCAAATCAAATTTTAAATTAAGTCGTGCAAAAGCTTCTGCTATGGCTGTAGTATTAGAAAGTACACAAACTGCTTTCGAGGTTTTAGCCAAATCTCCTTCTGGTACAGCGGTAGGTGGTTGATTATTTATTCCAATCTTAAATCCTGTTGGACACCAGTCTACATAAGTGATGTTACGATTAGCTTTAATTGTATTTATTGCTGTATTTACATCTTTTGGGACAATATCTCCACGATATAATAAACAACTCGCCATATATTTGCCATGTTTTGGATCACATTTAACCATTATATTACCTGTATCGAAACAGCTATTTGTGAGAGCTGTAATTGAGGACATTTCATGAATTGCTTTATCAGCCGATATAAGCGGGGCATAAGCTACTAATGGAAAATGAATCCTTGGATAAGGAACTAAATTTGTCTGAAATTCATTGAGATCAACATTCATTGACCCTTGAAATCTCAATGAAGCAGTCGTTGAAGATACTACTTGTGCTATTAAGCGATTTAAATTTGTGTAGCGTGGCAATCCAACACAAAGGCTTTTTTGACAAATTTCGTAAATCGCTTCATTATCAAATATAAAGCAACAATCACAATACTCCATAGTAGAATGTGTTGTTAAAACAGAATTGTATGGTTCAACTACAGCTGTTGATACTTTTGGTGATGGATAAACAGCGAATTCAAGTTTACATTTCTTATTGTATTCAGTATGAAGTTTCTCCATTAAAAGACTTGTGAAACCAGATCCCGTTCCTCCACCCAAGGAATGTGATATTAAAAAACCTTGAAGAGTTTCGCATTGTTCCGACAATTTTAGTAATTTATTCATTACATCATCTATAATTTCTTTGCCAATTGTGTAATGTCCACGAGCGTAATTATTTGCAGCATCTTCTTTGCCAGATATAAGCTGTTCAGGATGATATAAAGAACGATATTTACCAACTCTTATTTCATCTATTACAGATGGTTCCAAATCAATAAACACAGCCCTAGGTACATATCTATTGGCTCCTGTATGATAGAAAAATGTATGATGACTCTCGTCATTTTGAAAAGATTCATTTTGACTTCCATCTGCTGATATATTATGTTCTAACAAATACAGTTCCCAGCATGATGAACCAATTTGATTACCACCCTGTCCGATATTAATAGAAATAACTTCCCTCTGCAAATACAAATTATTTAATTTAATTGATTAAACTAATACGACATTTCTACCATATTCTAAACCGCAATATCTTGAAAACTTGAAGAAAATTCAATTAAACCTCTTTCTTAAACACTAAAATTGAACTATACAATTACAACAATTCAATATTGAAATAAAAATGAAAAAGCGCCAAAATAACGGATTTTTTCTTAGGGTACGTTTAAAACTTAACTCACTTTTCAAATTAAGACAAATTGCTCCTGTTGGAATTTCTTAAATGACAAGTAAATTATAGACATTGAATTAAATGATTTTGACCGATTGTTGGGTTAATTTACTTTATTATTATTTCGTTTAGCAAGTATAAAATAATAGTTTTAACATGTAAGATTACAATTTATTGAAAATTATTTAACTTGTTCGCTGGGTTTCTCAATAGCGAAAATGACATTGAGTTTTTTTAAAAACGAATGAGATTCGGAACGTCATTTTAAGCATGGATTGAATTGTGATTTATTTGTTTCCCGAAACATGGGCGAGCGAATACGTTGAATTCATTTTCGCATCAAGTATTGTTATAAAATATCATTCAGTAGTGCGTATTCTTTTTTAAAAAATTTTCTAAAAAATTTTTAAGAAATATTAGCCCAAAATATTATACGCCACTTTTTATGACGGTGCCATAAAAAATTCATAAAGACACTGAAAACCCAAAATGTCTTGCTAACCAGATGCGACTGATTTTCAAAATGTCCTTTTTCAAAAAATAAATAAATGTTGTTCAACAAGGATTAAAAAATAGTTTTACAGTTTGTTGCTAAGATGAGAAGAATAAATTTCAAGATAATAATTTTCATTAAAAATATGTACATATTTATAATTTATGTATTACCAAAAATGAAAGCGTTTGTGAATTGGAAGGCAAAACTTAATTCATGTATATCCGACATGAATTGTCAAAAATGTGTTTTTGAAAGCGCAGCAGTGTTTTGGCAGCATTTCTTTTAAATAACAATTAACAACTACAACCTGAAATTTCAAAAATTTTAGATCACATTCGCAGTTTTAATACCACTGATTTAAAATTAAGAGTTATGTACTAAAACATAGTGACTGCGATAGTACTTCTATAATTACAAAAACTTCGTTTTTACAAATGCCAATTTTGAAGTCGTTTTTTTCTGTTACAAAAGCTACTTAAAATCTAAGTTAGAAATAAAAACGCTAAGTGCATTTTTAAAAATACTCCTACTTAGAACTATACTATGATACAATTAAAAAACGTAGTTCAGCCGATCAAAACACGTTTGTTTCCAAAATGTGTCAAAATCAAAACGACAAAACAACAAAACATACAAGCCAAATATTGTCAAAACTAAAATAAATAAATAACTGCGATAAAGTAGCGTTAACTTTTTAATACAACTGTAATGTAGCACAACTTCTTTAGTTTTTAATCGCTGAATTAAAAACTAAAACTGATTGAATTTTACTATACAGTAACAAAAACGGCTTGTGATAGCTGAAGGAACAAGAAAACTGTGTTAAAGGAATATGGTTCATGGAACATGGAATTGGTTATATACAACATAACTTAGAATTATAATAAGAAACCCAACCACTAATTTATTAATAAACTTGACATTGTGATGATCGCTTATAACCCTACGAATACACACACTTCATTGTATCAATCGCACGCAACATTCTCTCTATTGCACGCTACATTCTGTCTATCGTACGTTTTATTCAATGTACTTGATTGCTTTACTTTGATTTTACCTCATTTTTTGTACGGATTTTTGTTCTTTAAAAAAATTGAGTTTTCAAAAATTTATAAATAAAAAGAAAACAACTACTTAAATTAATTTTTGTACAAAATAAGTAAATTTATTTTTTTAATTAATTGTTTTTATAATAAAATTATTTTTTTTTTGTGTATATAATTTATTTTTTGAATATTTACCATTTTATAATATTTGCACACTTTATAACGTTGTGATATTCAATTATTATAGAACATTTTTAGAAATATTACTATGGTGGGTAGTACCTACATAATTGATTTCTAAATATTAATGTTATGCTCATATAGATATACATACATTATGTTACACATTTTTATACATATATATTATAAAAACATACATGTTACATATTATAAAATTATTATATTTAAATGTTTACAAAATTTTGTAAGATCTATACAAAATTTTTCAATTTAAGTTTGTTTTTTTATAATTTTAAAATTAATATAAAAAATTTATTATTAATACATCAAATATTTAACATTATTTACAAAATATGCTATTTTTAAAGTTATTATGTATTTTATTATATAAAAAATATGTTAAACGTGTACTATTATTACTATATAATATGATAATAATTGTATATAGTTACAAATATAACATAAATTCGCAATGTGCGAATTGGAGTTTAATATTTTTGGTCAGTAAAAAAATTATATTAACGCATAATTATTATACAGTTTTCTATGCCGCATAAGTATATTGTAAGTAATCAAATAACGAAATAATATATTATGTAATAGTTTTGAAAATTGCGCAGTGAACTTTTTGAAAACTTAAGTCTTTAATATTTAAATTAAATGTAAATTAATTACATTTTTATCTGAAACTAAATTAGAGTACTACATTAAGTTACAAATACGCATAATCAAAATTTAATTTGAAAATATCAATCTTTTCAATTTTTGTTGTAACCTTTGTAATCGGTGTTCTAATGAAATTTTAAATAAATTATTGAAAACTGAGAATATTATTAAATTTACAATTTAGGCGAAATTTCGTTATAGGCATTTTAATAATATGAAATAAATTTAAGTTTGCACTGGCAAAACATCTTCTTTATTTTATGTGTTCATAATTTTGAATATATAAATACAGACCAACTTCAATTTGATCTATTAAATTAAGTTGCAATTAGATCTGCTATTATGGATTTGTTCTATGCAAACTACTGAACATACTTTTAATTTTTTAAAAAGAGAGATTGTGTCGGTACTATACTAAAATCTTTTTTTTTTTCTAAGAATAGTTTACAAACAATATTGAACAAACTTTTACTTTGCATGAAACTAAGTTCCTTAGCCAATTTTTATATTTTTTTGGTATACAAACAAAATTTAAATTGCCTAATTTTATGCATCATATATGATTCAATAATAAATTATCACTATGTAAAAAAAGTTGAATTCAGAATATTAAATTAAGTATAGCTATAGTTTGTTATCTGTAAATATTGAAGTTATGTATACAATAATATTTAACTATGATGATAAAGTTATTTTATCAGTTACATAGCGTTAGATTTTTACAATATTTTTTAATAATATAATTAAGAAATTAAAGTTACATTAAGTATAAGCTTTTAGTATCATAATTTTTAAAATAACATGTTTTTAACATTCTACACTTAATAGAATTACAGTTGGTAATAATTAATTAAAGTAAATTTTATAATTTATTTTATAATTATGCTATTTAAAAAAAATATTATCTTTAAATTAAAAAATAATTTAAATTAGAATGTTTTCTAAAAATTAATTTTAAGCATTAACAAAAATATGAAGCTGAAGGAAATTTTAGACAAGAATTGATTCTTTCTATTTTATTCATAATTGGTTCAATATAGAAGTGTATTTTATACAATATAGTATACGTTTTCAAATCATGTAATATTTCGTATTATGGTGTAATGCAATTTTTATTTTGAATTTTTTAATACGTTTTTGACAAATTTTATAAATTTTTTTAGATTAACACAATATGTTTCTTTTAATATTGAATATTTATAATTGAGGCTTTTGGCACAAAATTTGTTTATGCCGTACAGATACTATTTTCTAAACTATTCAATATTAAAAATAAATATAAATATATATTTGATATACTGCAAGAATTAAATTTTCATAAAAACATATTTTGTAGTCATAAACGTTTTCCTATGTAAGTATATTTATAAATTTTTTTTATTTTTTCTTTCGTCTTAAAATGAAATTTAAATTGTATTGTGTATTTACAGCATAATAAACATTTGCATTTGGTGGCATCACTAATTCTTTGTCGGGTAGCACCTGAGCTAATGTAAATTGGTCTGGATCACCTTCAATATCTAATTTCATCATAGCATTTTTTATTACTTGTGGTGTATGTTCATTATTCCCTAACATAATACTTTTATATAAAACAACACCATCCATTTCCTCGCTATTATCTACTTCTAATGTAACACGAATTATATAAAAATCTGGTGTAGAATTTTTTTGTCCAGGACTCTGTACTAATTGTGCATTGATTATTGGTGTTCCATCATTTGTAACAATTCCTGTAGATGATAGTTTACCATTTGATATTTTACTTTTTGAATTATTTGTACAGGATGATTTTTGATGACCACCGGAATTCGATGAATCAATGGAAATATTTGAAGCACTACTTGATGCTGACATCATTGAAACTGAATTTGGTGGTATTGTATCACGACCTAAACTATTATTTCTTGAATAATTGCTTTCTGTAAAAGATATACTATTACTTCCATTATTAAGTTCATAATAGAATGTATGTGAACCAGCGCCACTACTTGAATTCGATGCAACAGAATCTGTTTTTCGATGGCCAATTATATTTGAAACCGTTGATACAGATGATGGTGATGAATTATTATTATTATTGATATTATTGTTGTTGTTATTACTATTTAGTTTCCGTGGCTCTGATGGTGGTTCTATTTGACATGACAGTGCATGAGCTTCACGGTCATCTAAGACTAGCATCGATGCAAACCATCTATCAAAATGATGATCTTCTGGAAAATTATATACATTGGCAGCACCTTGCAACAATTTTATTTGTGCTAAAACTTCAAATTCTTTACGTCTTTTACTAAAATTGATTAAATTTTCTTCAATATAACTGGGATAATAAGCATCTATATACGTTAGTTCACTTAGAAATGCACCCAAAAAAGGTATTGTGCCATGTGATATATTTTGATCCTAAAAAGAAAAATAAGCAAAACATTTAAAACTACTTTATGTATGAATCAAAATTCATATTTTTTTTTAATTAAATCATATTAGTGTTACTATATGAGTGCGATTCATCCCATATATTAGAGTAAATATTTATGGTATTAAACAAAGCTTAAAAAAAATTATATACCTGTCCTTTAAGGACTTTAACCATATGCTTATCATTCTCTCCAACCGTATCGGCTATCTTAGCAGTGCCTTCACGTTGTAGAATTTCTGACATATCTTTAGCAAATATCCTTGATAATTCTCTAAAGAGTTCACACTAAAAGTAAATATCACGGCTATTAGAATGAAAATTTTAAGCTAAAGTATTTAATACTTTGTCCTTTGGCAATGCATTCCATGTCTTAGTTAATCTAAAAATGGGCTGGGATTCTAAACTCGTCACAATAGCCTTTAAAGAAGAAAAATTTTTTTGCAATCTTAATTCTTGAGCTATTTCAATCCATGTTGCGATATTCAAAGCCCTTTCCTAAAAAATATTACATGTATATCACCATTAATAAACAATGTCACAGGAAATAACAAGTTGATCAAGTAGATACCTGAGATTTCAGTTTAGGTTCAATTAATATACTTGAAATAACTCTAGATGATACAGCATTAAATTGATTAACAGTTGCAACAACAGTATCGGCTTCATGTTGATCTCGTTTTGTCCATGTTGCTCCTAAACATTGATGTGGTATGACTTTTTTAAATAATTCAGTATCCATTCTCGTTAATTGTTCAGCAAAATGTTTTACTGGTATATGTGGAAAACGATAAGCCTGTAATAAATGACCTGGTGTTCCACGAAATGCAGGCGCCAAACATAACCCAGAAAATTGTTCTGATAAATCTGAATAAGTTTGTTCCATCCATGGTAATGCATGATGATTACCGCTTAAACTACCAGTATGATGATAATGGTGATGATGATTTTGCTGAGCCTGCAATCTTATACATCTTTCATAACGATGTAAAACCTTCATATGCAAATCAGAATTTGGTAATCGTTTTGAACTAAATGCCAATAAATGACGTAAATTCTCTTCATTCCAATCTTCTGGAAAACCATCAAGCCAGACATGAAGAGCTGAGACTAGAGTTTTTTTATGTTGTTCATGTTTTGTTAATAAATCTTCAGAATCATAATTTGTTTCATTTGGAATATCGGGTTTGGTAATATCATCCCATATCCGAGTATCTGATGAAATGTCACCATTTTGATAATGAAGATGAAAAGAATTATTATGTGAATTTATTGATGATGAAGAAGCTATTGATGATGCTGATGAAGAAGAAATATTATTTGAATGTTTTTCTTTAATTCGTAAAATTAATTCGGTTAGAGTGTCATAACGTTTATAAAGTAAATCTAATATTTCTTTTGCATTTGAGAATGTTCGATATGTTGTTAAGAATACCATTATAAATGTACTCTCTAATTCACCATCATTAGTCGCTAAAGCTTCAACAAGTCTTGGTAATGATGCTGCTTTTACAAAGCGAACACGTACTGTTTCCCATTCTAAATGTGAAATTTCATCATCAGAATCCTAAAATGAATAATAAAAAATAGAAATTTATTAACAAATTAATTGGTAACACATTTATAATTACATATTTCCATTATATGTGTATATAGATATTCGTATTACTTACTTGATTTGAAATCATAATTGGCCGATGATATCGAACTTTTTTTAAGTAAACTGTAAATATTGCATCCTTTTCACGTTCCTCACCCCAAAATCGCCAAGTAGGCTGCTGGGAAAAAATTAAAATAATAATTAATTACAAAAATTCTAATGAAAATAAGAAAATAAAATAGGAAGCATAAAAGATTGCTCCCTAAGAAAATTCCTTATTTTGGGAATTATTATTTTTATTTTTATTTTTTTTTTGTATCAGTTAAACTTCAATTTATTATACAGTGTAGGGGTAGACGAAAAATTCTCTTACAAAGAAATAGATTTCCTCGAAAGTTTAAGATTAAAGCTTTTTTATCTCAAATGGTTTAAAACTTTTGTCAACATACGGCTGTAATTCATTTATTTAAATTTATGATAGCAAAAACAACACAAGTTTACAAAATTATTTTTTTTCATTCCACATCTTTTATCGTAATTTTAACTCATAATTAGGCTGTGGTTTTGTATTATTTTAATATTTTACATCTAAGAAAAAAATTATTTCTTAGTATCATTCAAATAACTTAAATTTTTTCGGGAATTCCTATTAAATTGGGAATTATAACGTCATTCAAACACAATAATTTAATTATAATTAAATGCGTATATTAATAAAAAAAATTAAATTTTTATTTTTTCTAATGAAATACCGAAACAGCAAGAAACCGAAATAGAGGAAACAAAGTATAATTATTTATCTTAATTTTGTTTATGTTTTCACTTGTAAAAGTTGTGGAGGCACACATAATAACAAACTGATAAAATTTTGCAAAAGAAAAAATATTAAAGTGTTAAATATTAAAATATGCTAATAAATAAATGTTAACTATGTAATATGCATACTAAAATAGAATAGGTTATAAATCAAAATAAGTAGCCTGATATTGAGTTTAAAAATAAAATCTTTAAACCAATAATATGACACACTTAATTCCTCTATTATGTTTGTACATACGTAATACAATTTAATGCCAATATCATATTATACCTATTTATATTATTTAATATATGTATGTAGGTACAAAGTTCATTTAGGTACATAAAATTTAATGTTCAATAAAATATTCTTGATTTGTTATGTCATGAATAGATAAAAATAAACTTCGTCATAATATTTAAATTCCATATGAATAGGAGAAAATGATGCTTTTTATGTTATTTATTTATTATCATATACATATATATATATACATATATATATATATATATACATATGAGCATTGTTCACACATAATCTGATTATAAATTCTTTTAAACTGACGTACGTAGTAATATAGACACTATGGAATGACAACTCAACTCAACAACTCAAATTGACTCTCTAATTTAGTTTTTTTTTTTGTTATTGAGATTGAGAAATATTTTGGTATACAAATTAATGGTGTGCTTTCTCATTAGTAAAATAAGATAATACGAGAAATGATTGAAAATACTTGAGAATTTTGTTAAGATAATTTGTGAAAAACAAAGAGAACACTTCAAAAATACTTATTAATTTGTTTTTGTATTGTATAGTGAATGGAATGTGTGATAGATAATTTATGTTCTAATTTAAAAATTTTATATTAGAAAATCTAAGCTTCTGGAAAATTTCGAATTTATGCAATATTTAATTTTATGATTTTGGAGAATATAAGAATTTCAAGTGATTTTAAGTATTTTCTAATTGAAAATAATTAATAAATGAGAAATTAATAATTTAAATAAATTAAAATTGAAATCAAAATTTACTCTATCAAGTTTATCGGACCGAACTTTATACTCATTCGAAACTTATTCAACTCCAATATGCTTGGTATGAGTAAAGGTATGTACATTTACAAAAAAAAAAAAAAATAAATGTTAGTTATCAATGGTATGGTCATTAAAAATTATATTTCAATAAAATGAATTGTAGAGTTAGAACCTTGTTAAAACAGAGTTATAAAAGATAACTTTTCAAATTGTGCTTGCAAATGGTTCCATAATCAGAAAAAGGCATTCCCGGACCAGGACATCGACATTTCATTTGATATATTTTTTACCCTTAGGTGTTTCTTACGTCGACTCATAGGTCATCCCCACCTATATTAGAAATATATCTAGATCTCTGAAAAATTTCAGTATTGCATAGCCAGCCCAAGCAACGAGTTTTCCAATGGGGTGACTATGCAAAAGTCCCTGAAAAGTAAAGGCACTGAAACAGTAAACGGTGCATGATGCACCACATCGTCTTAAATGTCATATGTCACTTTAAATATTTAAATTAAGTAGTTAAGAACTTTGTTAAAAACAAAAATATTTGAATATAATTTTATTTTAATAAAATATTCATTCATTGTTGTGGATTCAAAGTATACTTCAAAAATGTAAAGAAAAATTAAAAGAAGAATAAACAATAAGAATAGGTAAGATATTTGGAAATATTAAAAATAAAAATTTGAAAAACTACATAATAAAAAAATAAAAATCCATCACTTTTATTAAAAAAATCACTCAAGTATTAAAATATAAAAACCTCTTTAAACTTGCTTTAACTTCAAAAAATAATTCATAGAATCTACACATATTCATATATGTATACATACATAGTATATAAATGTAGTTCTCGTGTCTATAGGGAAACCAACCATGGAAACTTTTATTTGTCTTCATTTTTTTTTCGCCATAAAATCCTTATTCATATAAAATGTTCCCAGATTTATTTGAAAAAAAAAATTCTGCAAATAATTTATATGGAATGTATATATGTATATATATGTGTATGTGTATAAGAGTATATTTGAAAAGTTTCTCTTTTTTGTTGTGGCTTTTGTAGTTTCAGACAATTTCATCATCTAAAATTGTTTTCAAAAAAACCCTTGAATTACGCTAATAGTTTCGCCAATATATATACAAAATATATTGTGTATATGCATGGGTACCTGTATATTTTTTTGTAAGTTCTCATGAAAGATACATACATTTGTTATTACTTAAGCATTGCTACGGATTTTATGAATGTTATACAAAACACTGAGATATTTTTCATAAACATTACACAGCAAATGTATAAATAAACTTTGGTTTTGACAATAAAATTAATTTCAAAGATTTTAAAAAATTTGTGTATGTACGGAGAGGAATCCAAAATCGCATATACATACATATATGGAGCATTAACTGGAATAGTTGACGGAAGCAACACTCATTTTAAAAATACAAAAATAATTATTATTGGTTAAATAGAGTCTTAAATATTTCAAAGCTCTTGAGTGGCGGTCAAATATTTTGCTAGTTTCAAAATCTCAATTTTAATATAATTTTTAAAATTGATGTTTTAAATTTGGTTTCTAAATTAAAAATTACGTTTTAGATACATAACTGGAGTTTAAACTGAATGCATTATGCTATACAATATATAAGTTCGGCGCTACAATATAACACAAATTTTTGTTATACATATTTTGAGCATTTTATGCTATAAACGAAAGGACACAAATTTAATACCTTGGAAAATTAAAGGCTAGCATACAATCACTATTAAATACATACATACTTATATATTGAATATTACATATGTTTAAGAAGAAGAGAAACACTAAATGAAAGAAAAAAGTCATAAAAAAAGGAAAGAACAACTTTGAACAAAAATTAAACATCACTAAAGTAAAATTTTTTTTTATTATTAATAGTATATGAAGTACGAATATTTTTATATTATTCTATGATATAAGAATAAAATATCAGCAAATGGTTTTGCTAGAATGAACAATACCGGAACGGACATGATAATTTTAATAATAAAAAAATATTATACTTGAACGGTTCACAAAGACACAAAAGAAAGAGCAAAGTTATTACCATTGATTTTTTTTTTTTTGAACCTTGTTGAAAGGTCTCAGAAACTACATATAATGCCCATTGGTTTGCCATCTTTTTTTATATTATGCTTAAATTTAAAATTCAATTTTTCCTTAGCAAATAATTTTCTGCGCCCGTTTTTAGCTGCATTTCTAAAATTATTTTTACCCAAATATTTATACCCGTACGAACATATGTTCGAAGGGAATATTAAACTTACCTTACCGTTTGTGACGCTAAGAAATAGCGGTTTGAGATATAGACTCAAGTGCATGTTTTTGATCAGTGTCGAATTATGAGTAGTTTTACCTTTTCTGTCCGTCCGTCTCAGTGATAACTTAAGAACTAATTGAGCTAAGTTTATCAAATTGTTTAGCTAATTTCACAAATGTTTTATTGCAGTAAGTGCCATAACCCTATTTAAATTGGACATGATCGGAGTACTGAATCGGGTGGCTGCCTTACAACTTCAAAATTTAATTGGCTATATCTCAGAAACTATAAAAGCTATGGTATTGAATTTTGCACATGCAAATATATGAGTAGGGCCCATGTGTTTAATAAAAGTTGTTGAAATTTCTTGGCTGTTTGTATTAGCTGCCGTACAACTCTAATTGTAGTTTGACCATATCTTAGAAAATATCGAAAACGCATTAAGTACTGGAATTTCGCATAAATAAATATTGATACGACAACTTAAATTCATTGTCTATCCCATAGGATAACAAGTTCGTACCGGTATAACAGAGTTGACGCGGTCAACCCTATTTTTTCTCGTTTAATATTGATATTACACCTAAGACAGATTTACTTTGGGTTGGAGGAGTTTTCGGGGATGCCCGTGAGTAATCTGAACTTTGTCAAGGGACTAGAATAAATTTATCGGGGACAAGAGTATCACGGAGGGATGCCGATCAGCCTTCCTATTGTCTAGCGCAGTGTGGCAGGGTTGAGGATGCCACCTTCCCTCACTCACTGTAGGGCCTTAGGTTTAATAGCAGTGATTTTAGTTATTCCAAGAATTTTTTGTTAAAATTAATTTAAAATTAAAAATTTCATCATCAAATTTTAGTAAATCCAAAGTAAAGTAAATTCTTATTATATATACAATGCCTTCTTCAATTTTGATGTATAAACGAATTCATAACAAAAAAGAAAAAATCGCAGTAAATAGTTACCTTGACATACCACTTCGTCGTTGATGTATTTGTGGTATTACTTTGGTTATTACTACTGCAAGCATTTTTTTGTTGTTGATATTTTTTTGCTAAATTTCGAAGTGTACCGCCAGTACATGAATAAAAATATTTATTAAAATTTGATCCTAATTTTGTTGTTGCTGCTTTACTTAAAGACTGTGTCCCTTGTATAACACCATTACCATTATTTATTTGATTTGAATTAACATTTGTATCACTTGTTCTACGTTTCCAATATGCACCATTATTTAAATTTCTATTATTTTCATTATTTGTAATAATATTAGTATCTGATACGAAATTTTTTTTATCACTAATATTATTACTACTATATTTATCATCTAAAATACTATTTGAACTACCGCCACCTACTTTGTTGTCAATTCTACTATTATTATAATTAGTACTACATAAATTCCCATCGATATTTTCGATATCAATGAAATTTTTATAGCCAGCTGGTGATGTTGGCAAACTAATACTCATATAATGATTATGTTTTTGCTGATTTTGATGTTGTTGTTGTTGATATGGGTCATATTGATTTGGTACTTCTAATGTTGATTGAATTGATTTCTGTTGATGACATTGTTGATTTTGCTGTTGCTGTTGTTGTTGCTGCTGTTGTTGTGAAGATAATGTTCCAGCTGTTGCTATACGAATTTGTTGTGAACATTTTTGTGCAATTAATTTTGTTTTTTCAGTAATATTTTGAAAAGCTTCATTCGCTGGACAAAACATTTCATTTTATTTTTTATTAAACAATTTCTATTTTGAATTTAGACTTGCTTTTTATTTTTTATACATACATATATTATTAGTTAGAGGGTATTGACGAACGTATATATGAGTTGGATGAGTAATTCTTTTATATTTTTTTTAATTATTATTATTATTTTTAAATTAATTACTTTCCATTTATCACAGTTTCTGAAAATTTGAAAAAATATCATAAAACTTAAAATTTAATTTAAAATTATATTTTTAATTTGGTAGCGTAATTTCAATCCCAAAATATCAAATATTCAAATAAGTAAATTTTAATTTGCTTCTGATGTTTTGCAGTATCATTTTTATAAAATCACGTTTTTCATGATTTATTTATAAACCATGTTAAATTAGAAAATAAAATTTCCGGGGTGAAATTGGAAATGAAATTTTTTTGTAAAGGATAAATTTGAACTTTCTAAAATTTTATTTTTTTGTAATTTTATTTTGAGAAAAAAATTAAGAAATTTGTTTTGTAATGTTCTTGTGTTTCGATTTTGTTACTTGCTGAAACACTTCTGATTCAATTTAAATTATTTTTTTTTTAATTTATTGCACACTCCTATACTATGCGAAAAACCCAAAATTTTCATGTCAAAAAAAATTTCATTTAATAATGAAAGGACCATAAGAAGTTGATAAAACATCTCTAACATTGAGTTTATTGAATATGTAAAACTAAACCTTTATCTACTAAATTTGGATCAAACCATAACTAATGAATTGTAAAGTAGTACATTTCTAAGAGAAAACAAACAATAAGTACCTATAATAATTTATTTTAAGAGGAATTATTTTCTCAGTAAGAATCAGGTGTTAAATAGACACAATGGAATCCACGTAAAATTGCATCGGATAATAACACAACCCGCTTGTTTTCAAAAAAATTTCATGATCAAAAAATTTATATATATAGTGTTACATGTATTTTTATTCAGATAACGGCAACTTCGGAGGTGAGTTGAGTGAAGCAAAAATGCACAAATTTCTGCAATTTTGTTGGAAATGTGCTTAAAAAACCGGTTTTAACTCGTATTTATTTAGTACAAATTAATTTAATTTTTAGATTTTTCGAAATAATGCTATAATACATACTTAATATAACACATACATACATGTGTATATTATGTATATTGCATATTGATAACATTTAAAATTTTATTAGAAAACCTGAAAAACTTTAGTCGAATTTTGAATATGTCGTCTGTCTACCGCCCTCTTAATATTTATTGTGACGAAAGAATTTTTTTGAATGAATAGATAAATTTCATTTTTAATTATTTTACTTAATTTTTTTTTTTCGTTTTTATTACAGTTTTCTTATTTATAATGTGACTCACAAAACACACGTAAAATATGTTAAAGATTATACTTTTTGATTTAAAGAAATATTTTTAAGTTATTGACCCATTTTCATTTATGCTATAAAATATTTTGAAACCTATACGTATTCACACTATAATATCTTTTATGTTATAAATAAGGGAGCCAAACAAAATTTTTTATATCTGCTCGTATTCGTGATGACACCCATTATTAAATATCTTCACAATACATATTAACACCATTTAAGAATACCACCAATAAGAATGTTTAAAATAATTATATCAAGTGATAAATAAATTTTTGATGATGTTTTTATTGTATTTGAGTATTAAGACAAAAAAAAAATTTATTATTTTTAGTTTTAAGTTCAAAAGAACAGGTACAAATTTTTTACATTTTGAAATAGAAAATATAAATAATAGATGTCGACACTGTAACATTTACTTAGTTTCAAATTTTATTTTTAAAAGAGCTGCCATACGTATAAATTTTATGTTATAAATATATGTATATTATGTGTGTGTGTAGTTTATGTGAATATTTTTAATGACCATTTTGTCATTAAGAAAAAATTCACAATATCTAAAAATGTAGGGGGGAAATTAGTAAGATAAACGTCATTTTTTTTATTTTTCTGGTATTTCCTGAGATATTTCAAATTTATCTTTTAAATTTCTATTTTCATTACAATATTTTTAATCAGTTTTATGTAAAATTAACAAAAATAGTTTTATGTTTATAGAGACGGCAATGAACTGAAAAATATTTTAATTAAATTTTTGCTTTTTAATAAATTTATTGTCAGTCAAATAGTTTTGAAAATTTTGTAAAAATTTCTTAATAATTTTTTAAGTAAATAAATGTATTAAGAGATGTCAAAAGAATTAAAATGCGGAAATTTACTAAAAAATTTTTATTATTGAGGCATATGTATGTCGTAATAATGAATAGTATTACGACATATTTCAGTATTTCATAATTGGAAATGGGCTGTAGACACTTTTAAATGAAATCCTTCAACTAAAATGTGTTCGAATTATACAACAAATATTTGATAGGAAGGATAAAAAACTTTTAAACAAATAAGTATGTAAATGTGTTTATATGACTAATACATAAACAATTTTTCATAATAGACTACTGAAATTTACATTTCTCAAAAATATACGAATAAAATGAATATTTTTGATTGAACAAGAAATATAAATTAAAGTTCTGATCAGACAAATAGTGTTTTGTTTTTTCAATTCCAGAACTATTCAAATATTAAAATCAATTATTTTATATCGGTTAAGTATATATTTGATCGCATTTAATTGAACCTTAAACAAATATTGAATTATAAAATATATGAAAAAATCAAATCTGAACTTCTTATTTGAAATTTTATAAAAAATTTTACATTGTATGTATGTATTCAACAATATAAGTGAATATTATAAGACTATAAAATAAAAGAATTCAAAGCACGTACAAATATTAGAATACAAAGCTTTACGCAAATATAAAAGTTTTCAGTTTACTTGTTTAACGCCATATTGTATTTTAGCGTGGGTAATAAATTTATTTTATCTTTCTGAATTGTATCTTAGAGTATGTGTATTAAATTTAATGCGACATTTCCGATCTATAAATATGTACAACATCTATAAAATATCCTGTTCTGGATAGAATCGATCTTTCCAAGTCTATCAGTTTATTAAACAGAAGAGTGTGTGTCTATATCTGTGCCTATATTTATCCGCCGGCAATCAGTCCGAATAACCCTATGTCATACTGCTCGTCGATCAATCGGTTTTGAAAACGCTCGTTTGAGAACGGAAAAAGCAAAATAAATTTTATTTAAAGTATAGCAAGTAACACCCATTACATTAAATTTATATATATAAATCAATGTAAATCAGTGTTTTTCTTTAGTATATCAGCGACCTGCCATCAATGATGTTCTTTGAAAATCTATAATATGGTGGAAAATCAAAGCGTTATCAAAACTGCAACCAAGAAGAATGGATCTTTTGTCTGAAATTCTGTTAAACTTTGCTCTATTTGTAGCACATTTATGGCAGGCATTAAAAATTCCGTTGATCGTGATATGTTCACAGACACCCATCGCAGAAAATACAAAATCGTAGTAGAAAAGGTGAGTGAGAGAATTCAGCAATCAACCAGAAATCGAAGAAAATCTGCAAAGAATTTTTAAGTTCTTAAGAAGATATAAAATTCATGTAATAATACCAATCAAATTTGCTGTTCAAAATATTACTCCTAGGTTTTGTCGAATATCCGATAGTTTTCCAATTAGAACTAGATTCGACAATTTAGAAAGGTAAATATTTCTATAATAGGGTATCAAGGCCTGCTTTTTTGAAGCATTGTATAGCAATCCATGTCCTCTAGCTCAAAAACTAATACCATCCAAATAGTTGTTTATTTGACCAATATTATTAAACAATTCGACTAATTAGCTGCCAACATAGAGCTACATATCGTTCGCATTATTGTAACAACCATCGTACTTTAAGCAATTGGGAAGATTATTGATAAAGAGGTAAAACAAATTATTTGGTATCATATGCTTCTATCGCAGAACTAAAACATTGGATTAAAGTTCGGGTTTCTATATAAATTTAAAAAACTTCGTAGTTTAATATTTTAATTTCTAAGTTTTATCCATTTTGTTAGAACAAGATAGTTTTCTTCTTCAAGTTTTAATCTAATAACTTGAATTAAGTGTTCCATTTCAAAGGTGAATGGAAGATTATTGAATTATTTTAATATTTTATTTTATTAAAGTCTTATCTCATTGGGACAATAAATTGTTTTAATAATACTGTATTTAAAATCTTATAAATTATAAGTATGTAGTTGCATAGAAAACTATTTGAATAATAAAGAATAAAAATTTTGCGCAATAATAAGAATAACTTTTGCATAAATTACATAACAGAAACTATGTAATATATTCAATGTTTCCACTACAAGAGAAAGCAACTACTCTTAAAATTCCAATAATTTTATTGATTTAATTTTTTATTTTTATCTTTGTTTTTGCCTTTGGATCTCAAATCCCAAAAATATTTTACTTTTTTATTTTTGTTCTCATCGCAAAGAGACTATAATGCACTGTCAAATACAAGCAAACATTTACGTATATAGAAATTAATAAAACGTACATACCGTTATGTTTTCATTTACCATTCATTTTATGTAGAATTAACCCCGAAGGATGAATAAAGGATGAAATTTTATTTTATTTTTGTTTTCCAATTTTTTTTATTGTTTTTTAATTTGTCTGGTATTGACTTATTTAGAACAGTATCGCATATATGTACATATAACAATAGCTTTAAAAAAAACAAGTGCATGAGCATTGTTACAAACTTTTGTAAGAATACTTTTGTAAAAAATTCGAGAAACTTCTTTAAAGAATCAATATCAGCATAAAAGTAGTGAGGAATAACTATAAGAACATTAAAATTTTATACATAAATTCTGAACTTAAGCATATAACATGAAGCTTAAATACATAAAATTGCAACGACCTTAAAGAGTTTATAAATTCATTGATTTTAATGTGATTCATACAAAATCGAGGAAGAATAAAGTTTTCCACTTGTCTCTTTCCACAACAACACTATTCAAGAAATAAAATTGACAGATAATGAAGGCAAACAATAAGAACATCGAATGCACTTTGTTTCAACCAAAGACACCTGTCTAAAATAGCAAACTTAAATTTAACGAATGGGGAGTACAACGAATTGTGAACTGGATTAAGAAAAAAATTTCAAAGTTTCGTTCAGCATGTATGAAGAGATAGTAACTCGTCTCGTCGT